CTTGATTACTTTTTGATAAATAATTCGTTCTTATTGCGAAATGGGAGCACTATTTATCAATCTGTAATAAAAGACGTGAGGAAATTCTGTCTTTTCTAAAGACAAAAATATTTTAGGCGAAATACCCAAAAAGACGTTTGTGAAAGAATAGAATATACCATCTACATGGACATTTTTAACATTTTTAAAGCAACAATTGACGATTTGACAATAGAATAATGAACTTTCCTAAACAGAGTGTTCGGGAATAAACGCATGATTGTTTTGCTTCATGTTCGCTTTGACTTTAAAACCGCAAAACGTTTTGCTTTCTTGCTCCTGAGAAAGCCAGTTTAATTTACTTATTTGTCTGTCGCATCAGCATTTCCCTTTAAAAACGATGTTTTCAATAAATATGAGAAAAACGCAGTTTAAGATTTGTTTGAAGAAATCCACCGGAAAAACTCGTCAAATTCAACTAATGGCCGCAAAAGAATAACACTTTTGCTAATAATAAAATTTCTGAAAACCAGCAAAACACTTGAATCGCGCATTATGTGTTCCCTATATATAAAACCCTTCAACAGTCATTTTTGGTGGTTTTTTTTTTAGATTTTTTTGCACGATAATAGTTGTTGAAACTTTGGTATATTTTCCAGCATTGTGGCTTTCGATCCAAACTTGATTCAATTCGCATCCGAACTGAGATGGATAGAAGGCAGTCTATGGTTTCTAAGCACCAGGTTCCAGAAATTCTTTAAAAGAACTGTGACGCCCAATGAAATCAACCTGAGAGTCATCAGAGTTCCGAATACCAACTACAACAATCTGAACAATAACTTGTACTTAAAAAAGTAGAGCTGTTGGAACAACTCGGCTTTAATACCTCTGGATCAAGACTTATATTTAGAAATTTTTTAAATGTATTTTCCCTAGGCGCTACCAAATTTTATTGTATAATCACAGTCATCTACCTCTTTGTATGGCCCCCGTTATATGGCGTTGTTCTATATCTACCAGATAGTTTAACAACATTGCTTTATTCACAGTATATACTTGTTTCCAAATAAGACCCTTGCTTAGTATTGTACATACCCAATTTAAATAGTATCATTTAGTGTTTTTACCCAGTTTTTGTATTTATTTTTGTACTTTTGTATATAGAAATTAGATTTATTATTTTGACTGAAATTGGTGTTTTGCGTCTTTTTTCCTTAGGGTTTCACAAACACTCGTCCATGGATAATGCAAATATTTATAAACAAAATAAATTCCGATTGTGACCAACCATCCGAATAATCCAAATGCTTTTTAAGCATTGCGAGGCTTTTTTCAATTGAAATGTTCGCAATTTCAATTAATTGTCGTGCAAACTAATTTTTATCTGAAATTGAAAAAAGCACATATTTTGGCACAGTGTTACAAAATTTTCTTCAAAAGTATGTACATTTTTACAATAGAAAATTAAGCAAAATGCTCAATTTTCCTGGCACTTTGGATTTACGATAACGACTATAAAAACATTTTACTTTGAGCCAGATTGAACTTTTTGTATAATTGATATAAGAAACATTGGAGAAATATTTTTTGCGATTGCAGGCAGCGTTTTGGAACAATTGATAGAAAAAAAATCTTGTTGAAAGCTTCTTGTTTGTTGTTCAATGTTTGTCCTTTTATATGCTTAAGGTAAAACGAAGTAAATGCTATTTTTTAGCAAATTTTTCTTGAAGCGATTCGTTGGAAGAGAGGCCTTTAAAATCACCGGACTTGAACCCTACGTATTTTTTGCGCGTGCTTTTAAAAATATCAGTTGGTATTTTCTGTAGTATCAAATGAAAAAAAATGGCATGTTCTGCTGGAAACAATTTATTTCTGTAATACAAATCAAATCGGAACAACCAGAAATTGTTGAAAAAGTCTACTTTTTCTGAGAATTAAGAGGTTTTTGAATCGAATATAAAAATTCAATGAGCGGATTTTTTGTCAGCAAAATTGCTTATCTGCGTTCTAACGCGCCCTTAGACCCGTTTCGTACCAATCCAGGCGGATAATTAACATTGCGACCCATATGTGACACTTCATTGAGGTTCACTTTTATTCAATAAACTCCTCCTTATCTGAATGGCACAAGACCGCTTTTACCGAGGGTTTAATCTATTTTGTCCTTAACATTCGACTATACACTGAGAGATATACATATATACACTACATATACTATATACACTGTCGAACATTGATTGAGTGAAAATCTTTCCTTTTGGCTCATCCACCTATTTAAAAACGTTAAGGAAATTAAACTTCTAGAGAAAAAAATCGGCTGAAACAACCGACACCCAAAAACACTTAGCATGCATGAAAATATTCGAAAGTTGCCCCAAAATTTTTCTCAGTGTGCTTCCCCATAGACGTTCAGGAGAAGTGAACTCCATTATGTAGCAATTTTCCAAATAATCTATTTACGACAAATTGTAATTCGAGCGCCCGAACTGGAAAATTACCTTTCCACTTCAGCCCTATAAAGCGAGGACGCTCCCAACAGCGCTCAAACCAGCCAGTGCCCTCGAAGCAGAAACATCACGAAGAATACCAAACGTCTACCAAATCTTACCATACAAGTCATAACTCGCAGCCAAATAGATTTTCGTTTCCTCTCCATCATGATACCGTTCAATCCAAAGCCAAACGGTATGCTCAAGCATACCGCCGTACTAATGATCATACTGTGTATTTCTCAGAACTGTTTGGGACTGTTGGAAGACCCAAACAGGGAACGTTTCCAGGAGCGCCAATCACTTGCCGATGATAAATTTGGACGAGAATCTTTAAAATCTTCGCCGTACATCCGAGATGTTCGAGCTGATTCCCGACAGTCCAGAATCGACGCCAGTGACATCCGGACGGACTTTCGGGAAATCAGGACTGAATTGCACGACGGATTTTCCAGAGATTTGGTCCGAGTTGATGCGAGATGGGAGTCCAGAGGAACTGACCAGGTGAGGGATTTGGAAAACGCACAATTAAGGACCAGAACCAACCAAGATAGGGAAAATACTAGGCAAACGGGTCGCGTTGATGAAAGAAGCTTTAGGGAACAAACACGGGTGCGGAGCTCCGAAAATCCAGAAGCTGATAGAGTAGCGGAACGTTTCACTCCAGCGCAACTCCATTCTGCACAGAGGAGATATTCTGATAATCCTCTATCAAGAACTTCAGCGTCGAGATGCAACAGAAGAATGAGCTTTGAAGAAACACAGCCAACAACCAGCGATCGTCGGCGGCAATTTGGAGATAGAAGCGCGGAAACTCCAGAAAGACGCCTCCGATCAGCCGAGGACAGAACAACGGAAACCCGCTCATCTTCCAGAAGAGTTTCAGAACGCCAAGAAGATTCCAACCGACGAATTCGAAATAGGTCTGAAAGATCTACAACCAACTTCAGGCATCTGGAAAGATTGAGCCAAAAAACCGACAAGAACCGACGTGATCAGCAAAGAACGCTTCAACGTGACAACACTGATATCTTAAATGTTAGAGATCTGGAGAGAACCCGTAGAATCATTCATATTCATGGTGCAAATGTCGAGCATCGAGATAGCACTTTTGGTGAACGACAACAAAGAGCGTTTAGACACCGAGAAGAATCCCGGCAAAATTCGCCCGATTTTGAAAAAGCCAGAATATTGATGAATCAAAGACGAGTTCGGGAGATAAATTTACAACGCGCTCGAAATTTAGAATCCATGCGATTTGCTAATCGCAATGCCAACCTGCAAGAAAGACGATTTGTTCAAGTCCATAGGCGCCAACGCCTGAACAGCATTGAGAGGGACAATCGCGTTCGAGATTTAAATGAAGAATCTCGTGTGAAACACCGTCGAACTTCACTGAACGAACAAAGCAGGGAAAGCGGCAGAACAGCTGAAGGAAGAATAAATTCCAGTGGCAGATTTGCAGGAAACCGAATATTTGAACCCATCAGCAGCCCTAATGTTGAACGAGAAGAAAACAGGGAACGAGTTGTTGGTAACATCAGAGCCCAATCTGAAGAAGCCACAGTTTACTCCAAAGCTCGCCATAATCAGATCAACACACCTTCCAGGGAAAGGAGAGTCGTTGAAAATGTTGCCACTGAAACCAAGCCCAGAAGCAGCATGTTGGTTGGTTACAATCGGATTGTTTCAGACTCTCCCGATGCGAACAAGTTGGTGGATTTACCAGCGCGAAATGGAAAGTACAGCAACACTTGGGTGAATGTCGCTGAAACTCTTCTAGTCCTGGCCCTAATTGGGCAAGTAATTGGCGGAACTTCCAAAGGAAAGTTCAGGTAAATATCAAAAGATTTTGTCCCATAAAGAGCAATTTGTTAATGTAGAATGTTTCCACAGGTGCTTGTCGTGGCAGGGACTGCTCCCCAAGCAAAAGGTGTTGTAAAAATGCACTCAAACACGATTTAAACTTTTTATGACGACTTCTGGCAAAGCTTCACGGTACCTTTTCGAGTAGCTTACTCTAGATTAATAAGCTTAGATGTTTATGGCAAATACCAACATATTAATGTTAGTTGAGTAGGACAATATCTATATGAATGTATTTACTTTAGGAAAACCTTCACATTGTTTTAATTTAAGGATATGGATTGTTTATTGGATCTGTAGTATTGGCGACTTCTAGCTGTTTTCGCCTTAGATGAAGTATGAAAGCTAATGGTGTTGGCTGTAGGTCACAGTCTTATATGAAATAAAATGCTTAAAAACCATTTTTTTTTACTTGGGAATCAGGGGCGGATCCAGCTTTAAAGTCAAAGGGGGGTTATGTAGAAAAAATACAGTCTTCTGTTATCTATGAAATTAGTAAAATGATCGACGTTTTGTGCAAGGGCGGCGCAAGAATATTGCAAAATTTCATGTTTTCCGTTCCGTTT